AAAGAAGTTGAGGATGAAAGGGATGTAAGGAAAAGAGACTACTTGTAACTAGCGCTGGGTTCTAACTTGCTGTAAGGACAGCAATGTTATACAGCGATATTCTGGAGCCACGAGTAAGCACAACTCAAGTAGCACTTTCAATGCTCACTATTAGGTAGAAGGAAAGGGACTTTAGAATCACTGTGAATATTCAACAAAGGGATACGCTGCCTATTTCTCAAAGATCTCCGAATGGGACTTTACAATTTCTTCTGGAGTCTAATGGAAAACACCTAATGCAATCTTGCTCCCTCAAATTCAAGTGGCTTTATTTTGTGTTAAGTAGAATGAAGAATCATGGTTTATCAATGTCTATAGGCTTAGGGACCATAAATTCTCTCAGACTATGGTCTAATTAATTTCTGAATCTTTACTGGTTCTGGTTAATTGGAATTAGGGGCAGGGTATTCACTGCAACGATCTTTATCCAGAAAGATGGGGTAAAGTGGATTATAGTCTTACAGGACTACTAGATGGAAAGAGTAGAAACCGACACCACCGACGTATATGCCGACTGCAGATAGTACAGGTATACACTTGGCATGCTTCACCGTATGTGTAGATAGGTGCACCTCTAGTGAGGCTCCATCTGTGTATGCCCGATGACTTGTGGCACTTGAAGGGTTTATCTTTGTTGTGTTGCCGTCTGTGGGACTGAGAAAATTGGAAGAAACCAGGATAAGTGCATTGTACTCTGCCCACCTGCCCCCTGACCTTTATGGAAGCCTGAGGTGTCAGGTTTCCAGCTTCTCTCTCCACCTGAAGGCAACAGAAGTTGCTTCGAATAGAACTTTAGAAGCTAGAGGCTAAGGGAGGAAGTACACCTCACACAGCACATACCAAGATCCTGAAATTAGAACAACAGCTTATGGTCTCACAGTCAGTGTTTTTTTGTTTTTTTGCTATCTCCAGGCAGACAGTATAGTCAGCGACTCTTAAAGTAAGGATGGGCATCTCTAGAGAAGACTAAGACCTTTTAGGGTCCCGTGAGTCAAAACTCTTTTCAAATTAAGACAGTGTTTGCCATGGGTTTGAACTGCATGGTTCACTTATACATGGATTTCTCTGCCTCTGCCACCTGAGACAGAGAGACCAACCCCTCCTCTTCCTCCTCAGCCTACTCAACGTGAAGACCTTTATGATAATCTCTTTCTATTTAATGAATAGTAAATATGTTTTCTCCTTATGATTCTTTTTTTTTTTTTTTTTGAGACAGAGTCTCACTCTGTTGTCAGGCTAGTGAGTGCCATGGGTCAGCCTAGCTCACAGCAACCTCAAACTTCTGGGCTCAAGCGATCTACTGCCTCAGCCTCCGAATGGCTGGGACTACAGGCATGTGCACCATACCAGCTACATTTTCG